TCTCTCTCTCTCTCTCTCTCTCTCTCTCTCTCTCTCTCTCTCTCTCTCTCTCTCTGTCGCTCTCTTTTTCTCTCTCTTCTTCCCTCTCTAAACCCTCCTCGTTCTTCTCTGCCGCGACTCGCGTGTACTCGTGCGGCTAACCGGACGCAAACATCTCGATGAGCTTAAGTTCGTTAGTGCGAATAATACTTTTGAAGATAATACTTTTTGCAATTGACGAAATGTGGAACTGTCTCGTATTTTTTGCAGAGCCGATTTTAACGCGCAAACAATTAACGATTCAAAGCGAAAGACGCTAATTTAATTTAATGTTATTTAAATTTATTTTAAATCATTGTACTTAATAATATGAGGTAATTTGAGATATCTCTTATCTTTATCTTAATGTATCAATATCCAAAGTAAAAAAAAGAATAGATTGCATCCAATGAGATGAAATTTACAACGAAACGACTTATGATTTTCGATCAATTTTACATAAAAGAGCATCCTCGAAAATGGAAAGTCTCGTTGATTATTTGGAACGTCTCAGAAAGTTTACTTAAGGCCATTTTGCATGACTCTATATTCATGAGGAAAATCTATATAATATTTGTATAACAATTACGAAATAATGTAACTTGGATCGATGGAAATCTCTTGTTCGCGTGTTTTCTTTGAAAATCGACTCCCTGAGAAACCAACGAGATTGCGTCCAACGAGCCAGGATCTACAACAACACCATGCATCTCATCGAGGATATAATTAAGCGTGTTATTAGTAAAAGCAACGGCACGACAAGCGCTCTGCTGAATCGATAAATGCAGTCAAACAAACGACATCCCGATCGAGTGCCTATTAGCCTCGGCAAATAAAATCTCCCGGTAAGTGTTAATGGTTTTGACACGAAGTTTGATTTAAGTAAATTGCCACTCACGGACTTTTGTGATCTATGCGAAAAAGATAAATTGCGCGGAAAGACAGGAGCACCCGCTGATGATGCTATCGAGTTATTGTCAAGGCCAATGTGTGCGTACATAAGGACACTAATAACACGAGGTGTATTTTGTCACCCTGACGCACTTCGAAATCATTGATATGACCGCGATGCCGCTCATTATCGCGACTATTTATGCGGCCCGATGTGCAAGTTCGACTTCGCCATCGGAATTGAATGCGATGTCACTACTAAGTGAGATGTTTTAAACGATGAGGTTACATTTGCGTACTCAAAGAAAAAGATATGATGATGATAACTATATAGGTGAAAACCATATGAGTTTTATATCTACAATTGTAATGTATACAGTCTGTATACAGTTATATACAGTCTGTTTTAAATTGTTATATATATATATATATATATATATATATATATATATATATATATATTACATACATATACATATATATACATATACATATATATACATATACATATATATATATATATATATAATATATATATATATGTATATATATATATATATATATATTAATTCTACATATAAATCTCGTATAATTGTCACTTGCCATCATTATATCTTTTTCTCTAAGTACGCAGTAAAGTATGAATAAGAAGGAAATTCGAAGAGTGATGCTAGCAAATTAGTCGTTCGGCTTTTTTGTAAAATCGGAAAATTAAACATTTGTTAATTGATGTAACGATGTACGATGTCGAAGTCTAGGATAGAGTCGAGCACGACTTTATCCGCTATGCAATATTCATCTACGACTGCAACGGCTCTATTTTATGCGGCGACTACGCGAGCCGCGTATTTACACGCTCCGGATTTACGCAGACTCATGACGCAAAGAGCCATCGAGGCAAATCCTGTCCTTCCGTTTTCCGTTCTTCATCGCTATCGCTTTCTACCGTACACGAGCGTTAACGCGTTACTCGTTTATGATACAAGAAACTCATGGCGTACTTTTTAGAGCGTGAATTTAAAGGCCGGATTTTATCGGGACGTTGATTGCGACAGACGTTGGAAAAATTATTACGCTTATTAATCGTATAAATGAGCAAATTTATCGTGGGGAAAAAGCCTTCTGCTTACAATTGTCATATTATTTCCACATGTACTGGAATTTTAAATTGAAAGCAACTTTTTCTATACTCAAATACGACAGAGAAGCTCGGTATTTTTATTTAGTTTAAACGTCAATCTAAAAAGTCAGCGTTTTTCAAGCTCTCACGTGCCCATGCATATTCATAATTCATTAAGTTGCTCGTTGGTTCATGTGATATTCATAATGACGGTACATCCCCCAACAAAAACATCAATAAAGCAAGTGAGAAGTACTTGTACGATGTATTTTCTCTGTAACACCGCGTGACTCGAGATATTAAAATACGACGAGTCAGTCAAAATTGTTGTTCAAACGAACAAAAGAATAAACGTTTCCTTTTCCACTTACATGTTAAATCATGTTAATGATACTTAATAGCGTTACATGACGCGAAAGATTGCGATAAATGAAACGTTGATAATTACATAGTCTTAGAAGAAAAACAAGTTTTATTATTCTCCAAGCTATATTGATTGATTTATATACAATATTAAAAATATCGTCGCGCGATATATAAATCAGTTCCTTTCTCTATCAATGTAAATTATAAATTGTGGAACACGGATTTTTCGATTATATGGTTCGATTGGTCGACATAAGCTAGATCCGGGCAGGAAGTGACGGATATACTCGTGGTGTACTCGTCTTCGACAAGGCTGCTTGTCACATGTCGACACGGAAAAGACAATGACCCGTTCCGCGGTCTCGTGCGGCGTGGTGTCATTAGAGTGAAGCTCCTAAATCGAGCACAATAAATCATCAGATCGGAAGCAAAATGTACCGGCGAAGCTGCCCACACGTTTATTCGTTAACAGCCAGCATTGCCTCGCAAACACGTCCGCGGAGAGATACTCCCTAGATAACTATCTCAAGGAGAAATATATTTGCTGTTTCATAATGAAGTGCATTTTACAGCGCGGAGCGAGTCTGTGCCTCGTGAATTTTTACCCAAACTTTTAGTTGAAAGTTAAAATGATGAGTATTTCGAAAGTGAATCTGTGACATCAGTTCGTATGCACGTTACGTTTTGTTCGATGTATTTAATGGTCTCGAAGATGCATATCACGTTAGAGAGATGCTCCAGAGACACTTCACTCACAAGGAAAAGTATATAAGGCCGTACAAAAGATACGACTGATTCAGGAAAGGACGATTTGCGAACGACGAAAGAGAGAAACGCGGAAAAGAGAAAAAGGAAGAGAGGGAGAGAGAAAGAGAGAAAGAGAGAGAGAAAGTAGAAGAGATGGAGGGGGAGAAAAAAGAAACGGAAGCTTGTCACGTTGAATCCGGCAGCGGCTAAGTACGTAGGAGCATATACCCTCTGCATGAAGAGAGCTGGTAGTTTGCGCGAGGCGTTTGATGTGACATATCACATGACCGGATGCGGGGGTAGGTAAATTGGTCGGCAATTGCTGACGCCACCAGAGCTGCAACCTATCGGCCAGTCACTCGGTCGCTCATCAACCTTGTTCACCTGTGGACGATTCTCGGCCCGCTAATTCTAGCGTGAATCAGCGGGATCTTAGAAATCCGTCGCGTCAATGCAAAACGACACTACGTCACCTCTCGCAATTTCGAGAGCAATTTCGGCTCGCAGGATGAATCGTTCATTGACGGTGACGCCGACGGACGGATCGATGCGCCGTCATGGTCGCTTCGCCCATGTGTGACACGGATTACAATTTTTATTCCAGCGATGAATTTTGCAGTGACTCGCAATTACGCGCAGCCGAGAATCCAAGCAACCGACGATATTTTAAATTCGTAAACTCGATAATGGCGTAGCGATGCGCGACGCGCATACAGACAAACGAGATTTATTTTCCACGTAGATCGCATTAAATTCAATCTCTCTGCACAGAAGAGAGAAAGAGAGAGAGAGAGAGCTAAATTTGGCTCGTCATATTTCATGTCGCTTGAATAAATTTCGCGAATGATTAATTAAATGGACGGAAATGCAAGGGTTGTAATTCATGTAATCGCGAATCGCACTGAATAAAAACGACGGGGCATGCAAACACATCCGTGAGGGCGAACAGAACGAGCAAATATACAATGAACGCGACGTCGTCAAAATAGGCTTAATGTCTCGCTTATCAGATATTTTGAAGAACGCGGGCAGAATATATATGATAGTACTGATTTATTAGATTCACTGTGCGTCACAAAATGCGAATATTCAGTGATTATTAATAACCGTGACCAAATACACAAAATAAATGTTATCAATTCACGATTTCGAGATAACATTTTCCCGCCGTTGCCGTTAGATTTCCGCGAGGTTCCTCATAATTGGCTGTTTCGCGAGTACAGCTTAGGGAACGTAACGCAATTTTACGCGAGGATTGTCGCAGTAATGTGATCGTTGCGATGTTGTTATTATTATTGAGCTGTGTTACAGCTTTTATTGACGACGAAAAGTCTTTAAAACAAAATTTCAGCTTGCAGAATCGTGCAGATAAATCAATATGATATGAAAATTCCCTCAGTTTGATCAAATCGATAGGATTGGACAGAAAAGGAAAAAAAACGTGTTTAGATCCTCGACCCGGTGTATCGTGATCCCCGCTGTTTTAATGGACAATAATGTCTTAATGAACACTTACGACGCTGCCACGTGATCGCGAGGTTTATCCGTCGTCCCAGTTGTTTTCTTCAGTATTCAAATACGCCACGTACGGAATTCCCGTGGCTTCTTTCGGAAACGCGATACCCGGTATTGAATTGATGCGGATTAACGCGAGCTTAATTCGCGTCGCCTTCTTCTAGATATGTCGTTTCGTAATGAAAATGAAGCGCAAATTCGTAGACGCGCTACAAACGGACAGAGGCGAAATGATCTGAAATAATACAAGATAACATCTTACTTACGATATTGGTATACCATCTGTATTTATCCAACTCGAGATTCGAGGAAAAATCGCGATCTCCCGAATCACATTTCGCGCTGCGCCGGACTCTAAAATTTGTTTTCGGAACAACGACGAGGGCCAGGCGAGATTTCGCGAGATCTCGTTCCAGCGAGATGACCCGGTAGACGGAGGATGTGACGAATCATTTAGGATACCCGTAGACAGCGGCGGCTGCCAGTTGAAGATGTTAATTCGACGCCCTCTTGACCTCGCGTTACGTTGGAAAAATTGCGTCGCGTGCCTGTGCGTTAACTTACGACACGTTCTTCCTTAATAATTTCGATGATTAAGGAGTTGTTGATTTCTTCCTCACCGCTTTTCATCCGACAGCCCCGAAAGAATGTCCATATATTATCCATATATTATCCATATATTATTAATTTCTGATGACACTAACTGTGTATATGTGATTCTCTTAATTCTTTCTTTTCTCATCTTACCATTACGAATTTTTTTTCCTCGGTTCCTCGGTTCTCGGTTTCTACGAAAATGTGAACTGTCGCAGGCAACATAAGCATCTCGAAATCATGATAGAAATCGTGTCGCCTATCTAGGAGATGCAGAAACTTTATAGTGGACGTTTAGTCGTTTTGTCCCACGATAACGCGGTCTAATCGGTCCTAATCGCGCGTAATCCGCGCTCTGCGCTTTAATCCGCTCGCGCCAATCATTCTCGTCATCGTCGGCAAATACTTCACGGAAAGTAGAGATCATCCGTAGGACGCGCGGGAGAACATTAGGAAGACGCGTAACTTCATTCCGCGAACGGGACCACGAATGGCGGCACGCGATACATCGCACCATCTGATGCACTACGAACGCGGGTGCAAACTGTGAAGACAAAGGCCAAGGCGAAATGGTGAAATCGGACTCTGAGCAGGGAAAAAACACACCGGCGACGATTAACGCGTCTGGGAATATTAAGCAAATCGTCGAGCGCACTTTGCGCGAGATTACGTTAGAGCAACCCACTCGCGCGCGGGAATCATCTCTTTCTCCTTCTCTTCGAGTCTACGAGGAGATGAGTGCCCGCTAATTCTCTGTACACTAACAAGAATAAATACGGCAGGCCTTCTTCAGTGTGATCAATAAAACTGGGTTAATTAATTCGCTGCTCAGCGAAACATTCAAATCGCTGTAGATATAGAATGATTCCTACTTTAGAGCTGAGTGTGAAACGAGTGTGTAGCTTTAGGGGTCGCGAAAGAGAAAGCGTAAAATGTATCCCGATTACACGAATCCGATTACTTCATCAAAGACTTAGCACTTTAAACGGTATCTTTTTTGTACTGAGCCATTGACGCGAGATACTGATGTGGAGATGGTCACTTCTCTCTAGATAAAAGTAATTAAAATTGAAGCTTAGACCGCGTTTTCTTTTTTTTTATAAGTCATCCCTCTCGAGAACTATCATTGCCCATTCGCTATCGCTGCAGCACGATACGTGAATGCCTCAAATGTCTTATGATCAGGAAATTAGTCGCCTAGAGAGTGCCGGAACGGCGTGTATCGCTATCGTGTTACCCATGCGAATACGAACGTGTCTCTTCGGTGAAAGAGAGAAAGTCGAGTTTACCTCGGTCACAAGGGTGCTATCGTAATCCTTATTGTCATAGTTCCATCCATATCGACACTTGCTGACCGACCAATTGGAGTTACTGACCGGGGGCGACGGCAATCGACTCGGTGGATGAAATGACGAAAACGTGGTCGACATGGAGATGTCATCAGTGGCGTTATGTAGACTGACACGTTGCAACCACGAGTCGATGATCTCCGTATAATTCACGTCGTACATTTCACACTTCGAGTAAACTCTCCTGCCGTCAGGCTTGACCGAGAATGGCAGCGAGAGAGCCTTTCTGTCCTCCAAGGACAACAAATCCGTTAGATTCTCCAGCTCCGGTATCCTGCACCAGTGTTCCGGCGAGGCACTCACGAACACCTGTTTCGCAATCATGAGTCTTAATTAAGATTAAGTAACTTGAGCCCACCGATAACACGAAACTCGAAAATTCTAAAATACACTGCGTTACTTTCGCAGTTATCTACTCGTTATCTACTCTTTATCATTCCGTAATATTGCCAACTTAACAATTTAATCCTCCCTGGCGAAAATTTAATTGAATCCCCTTGTCAAAAAATTCGTAAGAAACAACATTTGTTTATCGTGTGTTGTTCTATTCGATAATTTTGCACTTACGTCTTAGATAAGAGCGAGTATC